TGAAGAAGAAAAGAGAGGATGTATCATCTATCTCCAATGAGGGGAAGAAGACCCCAAGGATATCCTCATCATACCTAGGTCGTTCTCGACCTTCACAGAGTTCATACCCGGCTTGTTATGCACGGGCTGATTACGAAAATACCCCCCTCCCAGTTATCAAAATACTTCCCCTCCTAACTACCAAACTCCCCCCACTATCTTCCAAACTCCCCCTCCAGTTTACCAGACTCCATCTCATCACTACCGAAATGCCGCCCCCAACTGTGCCAATGTTCAGACGAATTACCAAATGCCTCCCCCAATGTACCAAACCCCAGCTCCACTTTACCAAAACACCCCCTCGAACTACCAAGCTCCACAACCGAACTACGAAACCAACTCATATCCCAGATATCAAGCCCCACGTCCGAATGCTCCAAATTATTGCCAAATGCCCCCCTCCCTCAACAGGGCTGTTATGATCCCTTCCGTCCTAGATTTGAGAAGAAGCCTGCTAGAATTTTCACTCCGCTTATTGAAAGCCGAACAAAGTTGTTCGAGCGATTAACTGCAGCAGGATATATTCATCCAGTGGGGCCCAAGCCGGTTGACTCTAGCTCAAAGTTTTACAGACCTGATCAGAGGTGCGCGTATCAGTCCAACACTGTTGGACATGATACCGAGGACTGTATCAACCTGAAGCATAAGATCCAAGACCTAATTGACCAGAATGTGGTCTCTCTTCAGACGGTCGCGCCCAATGTCAATAGTAATCCTTTGCCGAATCATGGAGGCGTCATTATAAATATGATAGAGACAGATGATGATTGGTGCGTGACAAAGACAATAGTTTCGATTGCTCCTGACAAACTGGAAAAGGCTGTAGCTTCGTTGAGCATCAGAAAAAGAAAGAGTTTGTGATTCTGACACCCGAGAAGGCTGTTGCCTTGGTGCCACGAGAAACTCTTACCCGACCAAAATTCGTGATTGAAACGGCTATTACTCAAGGCATGACCAGATTTGGCAGGTGCTACACTCCGGAAGAATTGGCCCAAGGAGGGCATAAGAAGGACCAAACAAAGAGGCCGATCAGTGAAGCCAAGGCCGAGGAGTTCTGCAGAAAAATACTGCCAAAAGATTATTCAATTGTGAAGCATTTGGAAAAGACGCCGGCTCAGATCTTTGTGTGGGCCTTATTGATGAGTTCGCAGTTGCATAGGCAGGCTCTGATGAGGGCTTTGGACGATACTTATGTGCTTGTGGGTACTAACAGTGACAATTTAGCAGCCATGATAAACCAGGTCATCCAAGGACACCGAATCAGTTTTTGTGACGAAGAGCTGCCCTTTGAAGGGAGGATGCACAACAAAGCTCTGCACGTCACATGTATGTGTCGAGACAAGATAATTAATCGCGTCTTGGTAGATGACGGATCCGGTCTTAACATTTTCCCACTTTCGACTCTAAGGCAGCTGAAATTCGACTTGGGAAAGTTTCACCAGAACCAAGTCAATGTGAGGGCCTTTGATAGAGTGCAAAGAGACTCATAGGGTGCAGTAAACTTGGATATTCAGGTGGGTCCTGTGGATTTCAATGTGGAGTTCCAGGTGTTGGATATCAACACCAGTTACAACTTGCTTCTGGGAAGACTGTTTATTCATATGGCAGGGGCTGTGTCTTCTACCTTTCACCAACTAATGAAGTTTGTTTGGAAGGACAAGGAATTGGTCATTTATGGTGAAGAGAGTCATTCCAATGGGTATGTACCGATCGTTGATAATGTTTCTCGAGGTTGTGATTTCTACACGGTGGAGTTGGTAAATGCCACCGGTGATGACTTGGCTCCACAGCCTCATATGCCTGCCGTGTACAAGATGATTGCTACTGTCATGCTTCAGAATGGTTTCGAACCAGGTTTCGGATTAGGGAAACACTTTCAAGGAATTATCGAGCCTATCCAAATTCCCGCCAAGGGAGCAAAGTTTGGTTTGGGATATGTCCCAACAGACGAAGAAGCAGAGATGAAGAACATGAGTGTTGATCAAACATTGGCCAGGCCAATTCCTCATCTGTACCAATCATTTCCGGTACGAGAAAATGTCAACGATGGTGGTCTCGGGGAAGGAATCTGGGGCCTTTTTGAGGAGATTGATGCGGTCATCGAGGAAGAGGCTGGGACATCAGGCATCCGTGATGCAGAGCCTGATGAGCAATTGCAGAACTGGACCTTCACACCACTCCCGATTTCTCGCTCATCTAGGTAGAAAAGACATGTGTCTTTGTTTGTTTTAAAATTGATGGTAGTCTGGAAGAGGCCCGAGACCCACCCTTTATGCAATTGTTATTTGTTTGAAGCTTTTAAATTCTCTTGTGATGTTTAAAAAGGCAAAATGGCCCTCGGCCATGGCCAAAGTTTGTGCTTGTCTTTCAATTTAAATGAAAAGCCTCTTTTATCAAAATTTGTTTGTTTACTTATCTGTTTATATTTTACTTTTCTAACTTTGTTTGTTTATGATTTTAGTAATATTAATTTAAAACCTGTCAATGTCATGTCATGTCATGAACCGAGTGAACTAAATGAGGCAGGTGATGATGAATGTGAGGAATATGAAGAAGAAAATGAGGTACCCGAACATATTGCTGAGGAGTTTCGATAATTCGAGAATCAACACAAGCCGAATTTGGAAGAAACCGAGACTGTGAATCTCGGAGATGAGGAATGTGTCAAAGAAGTCGGAATCAGTGTCCATCTGACTGAAGCCCAAAAAAGAGACCTGATTCTTTTGCTCAGGGAGTACATTGATGTATTTGCTTGGTCTTATAAAGACATGCCAGGGTTGAGTACGAATATGGTGTCCCACAAGTTACCGATCAATCCAGATTTCAGTCCAGTAAAACAAAAGACTCGAAAGTTCAAGCTTGAGCTGAGTTTGAAGATCAAAGAGGAGATTACAAAATAGATCGAGTCTCAAGTAGTGGAAGTAACGCAATATCCGACTTGGTTAGCCAACATTGCTCCGATTTCCAAGAAAGACGAAAAGATCAGAATTTGTATCGACTACAGAGATCTCAACAAAGCAAGCCCGAAGGATAATTTTCTGTTGCCAAACATCCACATTCTTATTGATAATTGCGCTAAGCATGAGATGCAGTCATTTGTGGATTGTTATGCGAGTTACCACCAGATCCTGATTGATGAAGAAGACGCAGAAAAGACAGCTTTCATTACACCTTGGGGTGTATGTCATTATCGGGTGATGTCTTTTGATCTCAAGAATGCCGGTGCTACTTATATGAGGGCCATGACAACCATCTTTCATGATATGATTCATAAGGAGATCGAGGTGTATGTAGATGATGTCATAATCAAGTCCCGCGAGAGTTTGGATCACTTGACTCACTTGAGAAAATTCTTTGATCGTCTACACCGATACAATTTGAAATTAAATCCCGCCAAATGTGCTTTTGGAGTGCCAGCTGGCAAGTTGTTGGGGTTTATAGTTAGTAGAAGAGACATTGAGCTTGACCCTTCCAAGATCAAGGCGATCCAGGAATTACCTCCTCCGAAGACCAAGAAAGAGGTGATGAGTTTCCTGGGAAGGTTGAACTACATCAGTCGATTTATAGCTCAATCCACTGTGGTGTGTGAGTCCATCTTCAAGTTGTTGAAAAAAGATGTCTCGACCAAGTGGATCGGAGAATGTCAAACAGCTTTTCATACCATTAAGAACTATTTATCCAATCCACCGGTGTTGGTCCCTCCACGAGAAGGGAGTCCGTTATTGCTATATTTGTCGGTCTCGGATAACGCATTGGGATGCGCGTTTGGTCAACATGACAAAACTGGGAAGAAAGAGCAAGCCATTTATTACTTGAGCAAAAAGCTCACTCCATATGAGGCTCGTTACACTCTTTTGTAGAGAACGTGCTGTGCTTTGACTTGGATCGCTCAAAAGTTGAGACATTATTTGTCTTCTTATACCACATACCTTATTTCCAGGATGGACCCATTGAAGTATATTTCCAGAAAGCAATGCCGACCGGAAAGCTGGCAAAATGGCAAATGCTTTTGAGTGAGTTTGACATTGTGTACGTAACACAAAAGGCGATAAAAGCACAAACCTTAGCTGATCATCTTTCAGAGAATCCAGTTGATGAGGAGTATGAACCGCTCAAGACCTATTTTCCTGACGAGGAAGTTTCATTTGTGGGTGAAGATATTTCTGAGGCATACCCTGGTTGGAGAAGTATTCTTTGATGGAGCGCGAATCA